TCCTGACTTTCTTTTAACCGTTTCTAACACTGGTCAGCATCGCGAATCGTGGTAGTTGGAGTTCATGCATACGCAACACGTGGTCAAACCATCTCAGTCGATGAAAATTCACAACCTCATTAACTGGTTTACAATTATTCCCTAATACCTTATGTCTAACTTCACTATTATTTACCTGGTGATCCCAGTAGATGCGAGCAATATTTTCAAGGTATTTGTGATCACATGCTAGTAACTTATAGTGACACTGGTTCTTAAACACATAAACTTTGAAGCCGAGCATATTTATATTCACCATGTAACACAAAAGGGAGGTCAACGATTGTCTATGAGGAAACATGAATTCATTCAATGGGATCGCATTGCTCGGCTTTGCAACCTGGCCATTCTGTATAGATTGTGTTCATGTACAACTAATACTTTATTCTATCTTCAGCCCGAATGTGTTCTTCAGAAATATTAGACGTTATATTACTGATTAATACGTTACGACGAGTCAGTGTACACAATGGTGTGATTTCCACGCAAGATCTTATAGATTAGGCAGTCACATCATGACAAATCTACAGTTTTATGATTAGATCTATTATAGCAGTACTAATAACGAACTAGACCAAAATTTTACAGTCTCAAAGTAGTTGACTTTATTAGTTTCTAAAGAAGATTTCAACGCTTTACTTAAAGATTTGATAGCTGCATCTGCTAAGTACAGGGGATGTATGGGAATTCGGCAGATAAAACTTCAAGTACAAGATGATCCAGTCTTTCTTAAAAGACAAATGATTCTCTATGATTTTCGAGAAGTAATACATTAAACATTTAACGATTTGTGTAGAAAACGTATAACTGAACTAATCCAGTCCTCAGTATGGAGTTATATAATTATTACATCCTCAAAGTCTGATGGCAAAAACTCTAGAATATGTGGTGATTATGAGCATTGAACTCTCGTTTGTTGAAGCAACCACGAACGACTATAGAAGCTGAAAATAATCTTAATCGACTTCATGGCTCTAAGGTATTCCCAAAAGTTGACTAAAAATTTTATCTCTTTCAAACCGTCTTAGATCACTCCTCATCTATTTTGACGACAACTAACACTTTCTTTTGGTCTATTCAAATACAAATTCAATTTGATTTGCGTCATTTTACAGCCATATTTCAGGAAATGATGAGTAATATCGTCAATGATGTTAAAGGTGATGCCGTTTGTCAGAGTCATCTTATTATTCATGGTTTTGATAAAGTAGTCCATGACTATAGCCTTATTGCTTTATCGCATCCTTTAATTGGGCAGAACATTACGGTGGATCCATATAAGTGACCATCTGGTGAACTTAGTTTTGAATTTCTTGGATACCAAGTTGACGGTAACGCTTTTACACCAGAATTACATATCTCGACAATCATTATAAGGCAAACCTGTTTGTACTGCATACTGTTTGTTAGTGCATCCTTTACTGGTAAGACGTCTAGATTTCATTAGAGGGACTGATTATTAATTTGGATGCATATTCAGTATCATACGAAAAGGCTGAAATGCTGATCTAAAACGTAAATTTTCTGCTTTTTTTCAAAGCAGTATAAATTACCCACTACTCTTGATGGTATTCAGTGTTGAAATGATCATGTTGTGATTCCTTCTTCATTACGTAAATCTGTCCTTGAAGATCCTCATAGTGAATACTTGGGTGTTCAGAGAATGATCACCCAAACGAGATGAACTTGTAAGCGGCTGGAGATAAAAACAGATACAGTAGTTAAGTTGAAAATTATGGAAGGTGTCATAAGTTCGAAAATCATTCTTCAGAAAGGATTCTATGACGAGTATCGTTTGAGGCCTGGCAGAGAGTTTGTGCGGACTATTTTATTCTTTCTCGGCTGGCACTATGTAATCAGTGTCATTGATTTTTTAAAGTGGCCTGAAGTTATTTTTACAATCTCATCATGTTCTGATTTCACACTTTTGAGCATTAAGAAAAGTTATTAGTTGGTCAGGGAGTCCCTATAGTGTTAGTGACTGATAACTGTTCTCGGTTTACTGCAAAAACAGCCACTAACCGGTTAAACAGTATAGTGTGTAGACATCTTTTCACTGCTTCTAGACACCCTTGTTCTAATGGTCAAAGAGAAAATTCTGTCAGGACACGTCAAACTACCATTAAATCGATTGCTGTTTCAACATTTAATTATCTGGAAAGAAAGTAGACACAATTCTGCGGCAATATAAGAATGATTAACATTCAGTAACGAAAAGGACTCCATAAAATCTAGTAAAAGAATGGTTCTGCGTTCAAATATGAAGTATATTGAGTCATGGAAATGATCTCTGACTAGCTAATGGGATCGTGTTGAAGAATGTTGGAAAATCTATGGTTTTAATCCAATATGATGATTTAAGTACACACAACTGATATGTTGATGAAACACAATTATACTATACAGGTGAGTTTGTTTTGATTTCGGTTGTTAATTCTAGTACTAATATCTACATTCTAGATACATAGCCAGACAGACATGTGATGAACCTAAAGAGAAGTACAATCTATTACAGAAATCTGTGTTCTCATTTAGTCTGTGGCGTCCGCGATATTTATACTAACTGATGATTCTTTTGTACTTGTTATATGCTGATCATGGGTTCCAAATATAATACATTTATTTGTGCTCATCTAGTTGCTTTAAATTGAAATATTTAGGTAACTTTTAGCATATCAATTCAAATGTTTCTTACTTTCATAAGGAACTAGAAGCCAGCTCATCACCGGAGTAAAAAGCGAAGAAAAGATATAATCGGACACATCGTTTTATCAGTCAGTTCTTCATCCTGTAATATTACCTCAAGTTCCATTGTAATACTTGGGCCATTAGCCCGGTCTGCAACTCAAGTATATACTCTAGGAATCTTGTGAGATTTGGGTCTATGTTTATATTAGTGCACTTATTTATGCTAGTAGGACATTAAACCCAAACCGTTATTGCGTATTCGCTGTGGTTTAACTGCTTAATTTATAAGATCGTACACGGAATTCACACCCTTGTCTACACTGACTCGTGCTATTTCGACAGTCAGCAGCACGCTTTTTAGGAAACTCTGAAGGATGCATTTGAGCTGGGGATAGAATGATATATTTCGTCTTAGAAACTAGAGTGCTGGTGTGTGGCCTATGCTTCACTGGGAGTAACAGGCGTAAGTAAGTAATTAAGAAACTAGAACTTATATAGAGACCATGGCCTCATGGGCTGGACGTCTTTATTAGGTGTACCCGAGTCCAAATTTTCTAGCTTTCCCAAGCGTCTCGAGTGGTTTAATCTAAACATAACATAACAACATAATATCAGACTGAAGATTACACATCTCCCTGGTATTTATGTACCTATTTTCATTTGTAGATCCAGGCATGCTAAGCGTTCACCAAATTGTTATGTATAATGAAATGTTCCAGTGACAGAGTTTGAGCAAAAGATCCATCTTTTATGGATCTAAAAAGGAATTCAAAGTTATTGCACCAAAGGTAACATTTGGTGAACTTTTTTTAACAACTGATCATAAGCCATTTAAGTTTTAGTATCAAAAATAGGGAATATATCTTAGACTGTCATAGCAAAATTTTTCACAAATTATGAAACACAACCGACATATGACACCCATTATTGCCTGTAACGATTTCTTTCATTCACTAAGAAGAAAATGAAGCTTACTCAGGGAATTAATCTATTATTGTTGTACGAGAACTCAGATTTACTTACTAGATCATATACAGCTAAAGCTGAAAGGTTATCAAACAATTCAAGGGAAACATACTTCAAAAATGTTGTTGCTACCACATCTCATAGCTGCATAGCCGAGATACAAGCAATATGACCAGTATTTGTGGGTGTGAATCTGTTTTTCTTTTAATTATTGAATTAAAATATGGCAAACCACTGTGCTCCGATGACGTCCATTGAAGATTGATGTCACTTCACAGAGTTTTTCGACATCATTTTCCTAGAGATTATAAGTATGCCGTGAATAGTTCCATATTTAAATACGGAGAAATATAGTTTTCAATCACACATCTGGTGGTGTAACGAGTAGCAAGTAAGGTACTTGAAAAATAGTTCGCGATAGCCTACTAAGTCATGTTGAACCATATAAAGTATTCGCTCTAACAAGGCACGTTTTGGGATAGATATTCGTGCATAAACAAGTTACTGAATGTGGGATGGGATTTAACAGCGTCCCAAGAGAGTGGTTCATGTGTCGAGTGGATGTCCATAGATGTAGTAACCCGTGCAACGAAGCTTGTTACCTGGGCTTAAGCAGATACCCTCCAACTTTGGAGTAGTAGGTATCATACAAGAGCAGATTAGAACCGTAGCCTGTGGATGGAGGCAGAAATTGAAAGCAAATGAGACATTACCCTGGTATAAACTGGTTGAAAGTGGTGTACTTCATGCCATCACTTAAGATTCCTATTTCCCTCTTTACGTTACTCTAATACCCAAACTGCTGAAGCCGTCTATACTATTGTCTGTAAACGGTACTAATATTTAGATAACGCTACAAAGTAGGGCATATAACTTTAATCTCTAAGCTGATTTATACAGGTTGGATATGTAAATAAGTCGTTTTACCTTTCTGTTCTCACCAGAACTAATAAACTCTGCAGCCACTTAAAGCGGCTCCTAACACTAAGGCGAAGGAAACAAAAAGTAAAACCTGTTTTGCTGCCGAATGGTTTAACATTGAAACTCTATGTTCGTATAACTGATTTGAATCCTATCAGTGAAAACTTTCAATATAAGGTTGGATCACTAGAAGAAAAACTGTGAGAATTCACACAGGTTAATCCGCTTATTGCTGAAGACTTAACACTAAAAAGTTGGTGTTATCTTAATATATAAGCTTTGTCTTATTGAACCTAGTCTCATTTCTGGATTTGTTTTTCCGCTTGGAAAAAAACTTTGCATGTGCTTTAGTTTTAAGCGCTCCTCTTGAGGGGCTCTCTGGTTTTATGTCTTTGTCCCGTGGAGTAATGGCAGAAAGTGGGTTGGAGGTTGGGCAGACTAGTCAAGAACCCATTCTTTATAAGAGCTTGACACTTAAAGGTAATAAGCGGATTTAAAGTTAGCATTGGTTTTATTAACATGTTGAAAACATGTATAATTATATTTTTTCATCCCTTTACAGAAAAACCAGCTTCAAAGCTTCGTATCCTCAAAAGAATCCGAAAGCGGTTATCATCATCTTTCGGGAAATTAAGTAAGTGCCTCATTGCTTTCAGAGATGTAACTTACAGGTCCTAAAGATGGAATTTCGAGCCTCGAAGTAAGTTAACTTGATCTGATCATTAAAGTATTTCACTGTTTGTAACCGAGGTTAATTTATTTTTTTCCCCTTGGACCGTCAAATAGATATAATGTTTTCCAGTTATGTGTAAGTCATGTGTTCACTTATGGCGACTCTGAAAAATCGTTCATCTAATAAATACCACGGACTATTTCCAGTTTAAATGAATACTTTCGAGCTTCTCAAAAGTTTTAGGGTAAGAATTGATTTACACACGCTTTTTCGTAAGGTTACTATGACCTATGGGGAGGAATTCACTGGCTTTTCTTGTACAATGATTTCCTCATTGCTTCAACTATTATTACACAGTGCTTACATTGCAAAGTATTAACCAATCAACTTCAGAAACGCTTGATAATGCTTTGGAAGTGCTTCTATGTCATTATGGGGATAGTTTCACAAGCTGAAGACTTTTTTTCACCGGATCGATGTATATATCTCGATGTCCAACAGTTACCTAATTTTCCATTATTATCACACTGTTTTTTGAGGGTACTCAAAATCTCTGAGTATAGGACATGTAAAGATTGGTTGGTTGTCTTATTCATTTTGGGAGTGTAAAACTCAGGTAGGTAATCGTCTGCAAATATGCTCTTTGAAACTGATGTGTATAAAATGTCGAGATTTTAGCATCCAACTACTTGATAATGCATCTTCTGCTAGGTTTATTGTTTAACGTTAATTTGTATCTGCAACAAAACAAGTGTATAAATATTTTTGGAATTTTAGGATTGCTTTTTTATCTGATTGTGATGGGTGGCAAGCACACCGATTTCTTTGACTAATCTGTTTTTATATAAGTTAGTAAAACTAGATATCGTTCGTATTCATGTTAACATTACTCTTTTGTAAGTGTGACTCGTAACGTATTGCACCATCAGTCGCTATAAAGTGATCTCCCTAACCTCGTGAATCCCAACTTATTTGCTTGTTTACTATTCACAGGGAGTGTTTAACTCGGTGCTCATACTGGCTTCTAAGATTTCACTCCATTACATAGACATAGCTGTCTATGTGCTCATAACCATTAAAATAGGACTTACTTAATTATGAAGTTTATCACCAACAACATGAGAATTTAGCTTGCCAGATTGTTACCCAGTCAACGATACACGAAAAAAATGTATTATTGTTGTAGGTCTTTCTTACTGTTAAACATTGTCAACAACGGGTACAATCATATAATTTTGAAGTTCTGCTGCAGTAAATTTATGGCCACAGGTTATTGATTTTTCAGGCATCATCAAGTCTATCCCACTTATATAACAAATCGTCAACTTCAAGAACTAATATCACATCTTAGCTTAGTCACTCTGCTTCCTTTTTTACTTTTTTGTCATTCAGATCCGGTAAATGTTCAATTTCTTCTAGTTTGTGACTGAAATACTAGGGCACTTATACTGATGATAGGAAAGTACTATATCCCTGTGTCGATTCTTCTACTCTAACTAGGTATTAGTGCCCAACGTTTTACGTATCACAGAGTTATACAATAGGCTACTGAGTTGTTGCCACCGTCATTTTCTCAAGTAATATGTTGTCAATCGCATGGTTTTAATTTTCCGGTTGCAAAACGATCAACAAATCAGTGGTGGACATCGATTTTGGTTACTGTCCCTCAAAAATAAGCTTATAGATCGCCTACATGATCAAATAACTGATCTCGAAGGGAGCATAAATCAACAAATTGCGCACGCAAAGTTATCAACAACTCGGTGTTTCATGTCTGGACTCTAAAGCTTTTATTCTACTGTAGTCCTAACACTTATAGCTCCTAATGCTTAGTAAACTAGTTAAGAACACTTCTAATGCTTCTAATTAATTGTTTTAATCACCATCGCTTTTTTATTTATTCCTCAATTTTATCATCTTCGTCAACTGGACAATTATCTTTCATACATTTTGTTTCATCTTATTAGCTTTATTTAGCCCACAGTTTGTTACTTAGCACTCTTGACACTTGAAACTCCCTGTCGCCTCACCTCTCAAATCTATTTGTTTTTTTAACAAACTATTTTTGTTAAATTATTATAAATACAATAGTACAGCTTAAGTAACTAAAGTCTTCAAAAGGAAAAACTTTCTTCACTGAATCATTTTTACAATTGGTCAATTCAATCTTGAATATCAACAATAGACGTCCACGTACAAGCAAAAGTATCCATCATCCTTATTTGAGTGGTGGTGCGGAATGTAAATCACTGGTGCATGTGATTTCGTCGCGTCTCTGTACTACGTTGTCGAATCAGACTCAAGTACAGATACTATGTAACCTAGTGTAATAGTTTTAAAATGTTAAAATTACAGGAAACTTAGCAGGAATAGAATAATAAATAGGTCCTTGTGTTCATCAGTAGGGTTCATTCTGTCACAGCGTTTGATTAGTTAATCAAGTTGTTTCACTTAATTTCATCATGTATCTGCGCTTTTTAAAGACGCTTCCACTCCAACGTTTGGCCAAACTAACTTGAAGTAATTACATAGTTAATATAATCTGCTTACCACGAAAATGACCACTTCTGTAAAAACGTCTACGGCATCAGAGTGATATCTATTTGAATTCGTAATTTAAATTAGTCTCACTTAGTAACCCAGTTTAGGTTCTTGTGATAGCCAGTAAAACTAATTGGTTGTTGTTACTGTTTTAGATTTAGTGAAGTTTGAATATATGACTCACTGATTAAAAATCAAGTGCTCTAACTTTAATCTAACTGATTCACTTCCTAATAGGTTATAAAATGCGATGCATAAAGGTAAAGTAATGTAACCAGTTGTTTACTACTTACTAGTAACAGTCAACATCTTATCTCATTCTACTTCATATATCACTAACTTAATATGTGGCTCTAAAACACATTGACTGCATGACGGTGTCCCAGACTAATTGTTTATTCAGTTTTATCAATAATTATTTCTGAGTTGCAGAATTGAGTCAGTGAAAATACTGTTTTGAGATTTTAGGCTGTATATGGGTCTTCTGTATTATTTCAACTTCATAAAAATAAAACAGTGGTTACTAGTTAACTAAAGATAAAGACCGGCAACTATGAAATAATTTTCGCTCAGATTACATAACCATTCATTTAGTAATAGTCAACCAGTGGAAATAACTCATCTATAACATTCGATGGTATGATGTATTATTGAAGTTTATGGTACACTGTCATGAATTGAAACTCAGACAGAAAAAAATCAATTTATTTTTTAATGCAAAATCACATAGTGGCTCAGTAAAATATGAAAATCATAGATTAAATACATTGTTTGCACATATTTGCGTTGTCCGTTACATACTCTATCATTCCTCTAGTCCTGTTGTTATCTTGATTGCTCTCCGAGTTCCTTCCTATTCTCTTCATTCCAATCTTCTGCTGCCAGGCATTCCACTTCCGATTGGTGCTACATACTACTTATATCTGTCAGCGTAAGTAGCATACACCACAATATTATTTCGTGTATATTAATGGAAATCAAATATCGTTCTAATGTCTATGTTATTTGTACAACTAAAACGGCACCTTAATCTTTTAACCATTCATCTAACTATATAAGTTGAAATTCTAATAATCTGTTTTGTTTTGATTAGGCATTTAATGTTGTAACTGAGTTATCTCAAGCACGAATTTAGAAATAGTAGTGGTGATAAATTTATGTTTTTATTCATGCACAAAGTGTACTTGCGACTTTTTCCGTCAGGTAACAAATTGATTTGTAGGAAATAAAATAACAAATTTCTTGTGTTGCTGTTTTTCCATGCAAATGAAATCATAACATCATATTGTAAACAAAACTTTCATTTATGCCTTGTAAATATCAGTCTATAATTCATACATCTTATGTGCTGTGAGTTGTGCACCCATGTTTTTCTCTTCACTTATAAACGTATGCTTCAATGTATATGAGTGTAGACACAACGGGAAAATGTTATCATATCCCTATGTCAACAAGTGATTTTAAACTTATTATCGATTTGTTTTCCAACCAATGTAGTCTGCCTGAATGGATAAACCAACCAAATTCAACTAAAAAAAGGACAAAATCTACATTCATTATTCAAAGGTATTTTATAAATTTATTCCACATTCAGATCACTCATTGAGGGGTATGGTTTTATTGAAAATTATAATCATTAGTTTTGTATTTGATTGACAATGATACTTGTATTACACTGTAAACAGATATTTTCAGACTGGGTTTTTTAATACATTGCGTTCTGCAGCCATACTATTTATGCATTGTTGTCTATGTAGAGAACCAGTTTATGTTATCTCCCAATTACTATTCTATTTTTCATTGATTTTATAGCCATCAGTAACTTCAGAAGTAAGAAAAGGTATGAAGTCTCCATCCTGAATGGCTGGTTCTCAAGGATATCCTAAAAAAGACCTTTTTCTTACCTATCATCGTGTGCTAGAGCGGCGAATAAACCTTTGGTCTCCATAGTTTACAGCATCACGAGTTGATACAAGCATTGTAGAAGTTCAGTTGAAGAGTATAGGGTTGAGATTTCGATTTACTTGACTAAATCCGAGTTATAAAGCTGTTGATATTCAACTATAATATAAACAAAACAGTTTGTCTTATTTTCTTTTGCATATTGCGGTCACTTGTGTTCGTATGGATTTTGTACTTCGCATTATGTTTAATTGTTTAAGGGATTGTTAGTAATTGTAAGTATATTTGCCGTGAATATTTTAGATTCTTAACCCTACACCAATTGTATGAACAACTGTCTGTCGCATATTCTAGAAAAAGTATCCAGTTGGTTCTCCCCTATCTGTCTTTTACTACATCAGTTTTTTATTTTTTGTTTTGTTTCTATGATTCGTACCAAAAACACACTGTGATGACTCATCTATCCATTTTATGTGGCGAATTTTCTCTCAGTTTCGTAGAAGTTGGTTTATCATTACTTTTTGCCTGAGAGCAGTTAGTTGATGGAAATGCAAACAAAATGTATGTGTGCATGTGTATGTGCG